ACACTGGGTAAAGGAAGAAAGAGAGGTTTCCAGTCATGGGCACAGAACTGTGGCACAATGCCTGAGCCTTGAATCCTGACTGAGCCTCTTTGGACAATTGGGTGTGTTTGCCCAGCCAGCCGGGGAGGGGGCAATTTGTGGGGATGAAGGCTGGGTATATTAACTTTGAGAAGGCAAAATTACTGTGCTAAGTCTGAGCCAAGTCTGGTTTGAGAGCAGATCTTTTGACAAGGCTGTTTCCTGGGTGCCATCCTCTCATGTGAGTGGCAGGGACCCACAGTCACAGCACTGCTCTCAAGGTGTGCATTAGGGAGAAATTGGAATCAAGAGTAGAGACAGGATTTGAACCCAGGCACTATGTTGTGGGACATGGGCACCCCCACTAGCTTTTTAACTGTTATGCTGAATGCCTGCTTCATGAACCATTTATTTTTCATGTGAAAGACAGAGTTACAGAGAGGAGGGAGGCGAGAGAAAGAGATCTTCTATCCACTGGTTCACTCCCCAAATAGGCACAATGGCCAGAACTGAGTTACTCTGTGGAGCTTTTTGTGGGTCTCCCACATGGCTGAAAGGGCTCAAAGACTTGGGCCATCCTTTGCTGCTTTGCCAGGTCATAAGCAAGGAGCTGGATCAGAAGTGGAGCAGCCAGGCATGAACTGGCACCATAAGGGATGTCAGCACTGCAGGAGGAGGTTTAGCCTACTATGCCATGGTGCCAGAACCCATTTCTGAAAGAAACGAATAAAAACCTAAATAACTGCTCCTGTATCATCAGACTTAATATTGATCAGATGGCAACACAACCCAAACTTATCTATATACTGTGACATCCTATTAAAATCCAAGCTAGTGTCCTTTTCCCTCCAAAAATTAACCAGCATATCCCAAAATGTATAAGGTACTCTTTACCCCTGTGCTAAATTAAATGTGTATTTCACACATAATTATAGATTCCATGGGACCTCCAAGATGGTATCTACCTGAATTAACCATGCTAAGCTTTTATACAGGTAATTTCACAGGTAGAAATAGCCTGGAGTATTGAAATTAGCCAAACTGCCTTAATGTTGGGACATTGAAACACCCATGGGGCCTTGCCTGGGCGAGGCACCAGGCACAGTTGTTCCTAAAGGCTACTCAGTATGCATCAGTGTCACCTGGAAAGCTGCTGGGAAACAGGGAATATGGGGCCTTCCTCTGAGTGTCGTCCTGGCATGTGGGTGAGGGTGAGGACCCTCTACACCTCATCCAGCCTGGGGACTGCAATAACAGGAGCCTTGCGCTTGGACAAATCTGCTGCGGGCTTTCAGTAGGAAACAAGCACCGGAATCACGGGGAGCGGCTGTGTAGGCAGACAACAACCTCCCAGCACCCTGAGTTTTGATTCTGGAAGTCTGGGGCTGGCCTGAGAACTTGCATTTCCAATAGATTTTCAGCTGCTGCAACAGCTCCCAAAACTGGCTTTGGGACTCGCTGCTCTAGGCCCTTAATATCCCAAGTATGAATCCTGCAGTGGCAGCCTTCACACCACACAGAGGCTCGTCGGCCACCGTTTAGGAGCCCAGATCTGCAGCTGCTGAGATTCCCCTAGACATGCACAACACAGGGGTCTCTGGCACAGGTTCTAAGTACACATTAGCTGGGAAGCTGTGGGAATTCCTGCCAGCCCCACTGCTCCTGGGCTGGGGGTTTTAAAAGCCCTGATTGATGCTAATAAAATGGACAAGGTGGGGAACCCATGCTTCAGGAGGCAGTGTGTGAGTGCATGCTGGAGGCTGGCTGATGGGGCTGTCTAGACATACGGAATAGATGTGGTCACACGGCTGCTAATTTTCAGCCAGGCAGGGCCTGCCACCCAGCGTTCACAACCCTCACCAGCCAGCTGAGGGAGCTTTAAGAAGAGACAGTAAAATGTGAGGACTTGGGAGACACATAGGAAACAACATAGAAAAGAACTTTAAAAATTCCTCATTAGTATTCTCAGCTATGGGAGGACACTGTAGTGCTAAGGCAGAAAAAGCAATACTTTCATGAGAAAGGAACAGCCTGAGACTCAGATAGCGGCTTCCGAGATGAAAAGTACTGTTCAAACACGATGCCCAACAGAGCAGCAAATGGCAGGGCAGGTATCCCAGGACAAGAGCTGAATGAATTGTCAGAGTGTCAGAGTGCCTGAGGAGCTGCGTGGAAGCCACCCACTGTCCAGATTGCTTTAATTCCAGTATTCCAGTCCCCCGACACATAGAGGATGGGGGGCTTCAGGTGGGGCCACAATGCCATGTTTTCACCAGCTTCTACCAGTGACTGGCAAGGCCTCCTGGGTTTAGGACCTGCTCAATTGGAAAATAGGGCCAAAGGATTTCCCCAGATCCCAAAGAAGGACAGGGACATTTAAAGAAACAGGGGCTCAAGAAAAGCCAGAGGGAGATAAAGGTTGGAAATTGGGAAGCAGATATATCCTCCAACTTTCTTCTCCTTTTTTCCCATTAAATTTTATTTTTAATATTGTTGACATAGTTGAGAGGGATGGATGCACACGTGGGTGGGGAAGACGTGGAAGAAGGGGAGTGGACAAATGTTTCAATTGTTTTTCCCCTGTGTTCACTGCCAGGGAGGGGGAGGGGTTGCTCTTTGCTGTGGAATCCGGTGATGGAGAGGACAAAAATTGGATGATGCCTTAGAGACTCTGATGTGAAGAAGGGTAATTTAAGTGTTTCAATAGTCTTGAGCAGTTGTCAACTAAGAAAATCTTCCCAAGGTTGATTGGTTGACAAAGTCCACCTTAGTGCATTCCACAGACCCAGAAACATGCTGCAAAGCTTGGCCAGGAGACTTGTCCAACCTGTTCTCATTTCCGTCTTTGCTGTGCCAGTTGACATCTCATGCTGGCCTAGATGAGCTGGCCACGTGTTCCCCATGTGCAACTGGACAAGCTTTCCACTGCATGGGCATCAACAACTGAGGAGGCCCAATTCCAATATATGCAATCAAAGGTTGGACAACACATCCTGTAATTCCCGCTGTGGGCAAGGTCTGAATCCAGCCATCTAGTCAGGGAGTACCCCAAGAAACCTCACTGGAATAACCTCAGCCTGTGTCTTGTCAGGGCTACTCCCAGCCTTGGTCTTGTGCATGCCAGCAGGTGCTGCAGCGCAGTCTGACAAGCTTCCACTTGCCCCAGTCTCAGCATTCGCCAGTAGCTGCTACAGCTCAGCCTACCCCTAGTCCCATCTCTTGCAAGTGGATGCAGCTACAGAGTCCAGTTGGGCCCACTCCCAGCTCCAGTCTTCATGTGAACTGAGAGATGTGATGGTCCAACTCAGCCTGGCCTGAACCCCATCCTGTGCTGTGGAATTGGCCCAGCCTGGTCTGCCCCTACATCTACTTCACTGATATGCCTATGTGTGCTGCAGCCCAGCCTGGCCTGCCGCCAGCTCTGGCTCTTGTGCTCACCGGCAGGAGCTGTGGCCTAGGAGGGAAGCTTTCCTACTTCCCCTACCAGACCTGTTCCTAGCCCTGGATCTTGAGAGTGCTATATCTGACATAGCCAGTCCCAAAGTCCTGGCACTCACCAGTGGGTGCTGTGGCCTAGCCCAACCTGCCTGCACCCATTCCAGCTAGCACCAGTGAGATTTGACACTCACGGGCAGGTACTGCAGCCTAGCCCTACCAGGCATTCCCACAGCCCTAGCTTTTGCATGTACCAGCAGGTGGTGAGCCATGCTATTTAGCCTATCTTAGCTCTCCCACATGGACAGGTGTCTTGCCTGGTTTCCCTCCTCTAAAACGCCCCATCTCAGCTTCCTCACCTACCTCTGACCATGGTATGTCCATGGAATGTTCGCTGACCTGCAGTGATGGACTTGGTGCACGGAGTCTGAGATTAACATGCGTGGACTCTGACTGATAATCAATAGCCAAAGTTTATTAGTGGCATCAGACTTTCGTAGACTGAGGGTCACATGGGATAAGGGAGGAGGTATTGAGCATATCTACAAGATGCATCAATTGTTTCTATATTCTTGTTTGGAACTCTTGTTTTGTATATCCCACCAAGTATTCTCATTCACATGCTGTCCACTCAGTTGTTCTCACACAAATGATATCCATTTAGTTATACAACTGGTATCCATTCAGTTGTTCTCATATAAATGTTATCCTATGAATTGCAATCCTTTGCTTGTTGACATTCACAATGACCTTCTACATTGGAAGTCCCCCCTAAATCATCCTTTCCCTGTCAAACATGCTCTCAGTTACTTCCACTCCTATACATACCCAGATATCCTTGTCAGGGCAATCTTCAATGCCCCTAACCTGGGGGCCAGGGTTCCCCACCTTCCCTACAGATCTAAAAAAAAAAAAAATAGGCTACAATGATGCTGGGCACCCTGGTGTAGTTAACACAGATTTGTCATTAACCAGACCAGAATGCTTGCCAGCTATTGACTGCTTCTCTCCCAGTAGTGCAACAGCTGCTTATAGCTGGGGTAGAAATGCCATTCTACAGACTTGTTCCTGAAGAGACAGCATCCATGAGGGTATGTGGCACTGCCACCTTGAAGAACCCCAGGAAAACCCCCCAAACCTGCTAAGCTCAGTGCAGGTCTGTGTGTGGAACCACTGTCTGAATGGGGATAAAGGACATCTCTAATACCTGGGATGCTCCTTCCCCATTCTCCCATTCTCAGACTCTCCCCCTCCGTCCCCCGCCTCAGCTCTTGTTCTGGGGTTCACATGTGTAGCGCTGTGTGTGGCTTCTTGCATTGATTTGTAGGCCTGGGTCATCAGGTGCATCTTTAGTTGGTTCTCTGCTGCCCAACCTTGCATTTCTCTGAGTGGACAGGGTGTGCACCCCGCACACTGTTGGAAATATTGTCTTGGTACCTGTAGAGAATGATTGTTCTGATTGGGACCAAGCCTCTAAGGGGACTTGCTTGGTCAGTCTGGCTGGTGCGCACGGCCTTCCAGAATGGCTGGGATGTCCCGGACCCCAGCTAGTTCTTGAACATATCGCACAGGAGCTTCTCCATGGGGGTGTTCCCGATGGTCTTGCGGAAGAAGAGGAGCTCTACGCGCTCGGAGGAGAGGAACCGCAGTGATGGCAGCAGGAGCAGCAGCTTCCCAAACCTGTGCAGCACAGCCTGTCAGGCTCCCTGCCTGCCTCCCAGCACCCATCCCAGGAAGAGGGAGGAGCCAGCAAGGGGAGTTTCAGGTCCCCTTCACAGGAGGGGTGGTTCTACTGGGCCATGAGAATCACACCCTCTTCCTTGTGAGAATAGTGAATAGATGGCCTGTGAACCTTCCATCTGCTAGTTCATTCTCTAAATATGCCCAACAGCCAGAGCTGGCAGGGACCCAAGCTCTTGATCCATCATTCCCTGCTTCCTCCCGGTGTGCATTAGCCGGAGCCTGGGGGTTAGACCTGATCCCTGGGACCACAATATGGGATGTGGGTGGTCCAAGTAGCAGCTAGACTTTTCTCTGGACTTACGTTTCAATGCTTTTGAACTTTGTGAGGTGTTTTCACATATGAGTAACATGAGAAAAGATATATTTATGGAGATATGAACTCCTGTCTACACACCATGTAGAATGACAGCAGGATAGTTTTGGTGGCTGGGATTACAGGAAAAAAAATCATTAGAGTTTTAAAGAAGAACTCTCTACAGGGATGGCACTGGGCTCAGCAGTACAAAGGTTACTCGGGAGGCTGTATTCAGTCTCTAAGGGTCTGGGTTCAAGTCTTAGCTATACCCTGGGAGGCAGCAGGTGGCAGCTCAAGTACCTGGTCCCTGTTACCCATCTGAAAAACCTGGATGGAGCTCCTGGCTCCTTACCTTAGCCTGGCCTAGTCCTGGCTGGTGTGGGCATTTAGGGAGTGACACAGTGGATGGAAGATCTTTCTCTCTTTGTCTGTAACTCTGCCTTTCAAATAAAATCGGTCTTTAAAAATAAACCAGATATAGAGTAAGATGATATAAAGTAAGGACAGACATCACTGGGCGGAAGTTGGTCTCAGCAGCTGGGTTCATTGGGCTGTGACCCACAAGGGATCTCTCCTTATGCATTGTGATGTTTCAAAAACTGGTAGGTGATGAATTGGGGATTGCAGGCCACCTTCTCAGTCCTCTGTGCTAGTCATGGCTCAGGGTAGGAGTACCTCGAGAGTGACCCCGGTGGTCTGAGGCTCGGAGCTCCCCCCTTGATCCTAGAACTTAGGCAGTGAGTCCAAGACACTGGGTAAAACACCTGGGGGCTATGTGACTCAGCTGCTCCCCCTCCCAGGGCTACACCTCAGGAGGCCCTGAACGTGGCAGGAGCTGCTCCATTCAGGATGTGCGACAGTCAACAACCCCCCACTCAGTGTCCTGTGTGCCTCCCACGGCTGACATAGTTTGGGTGCTGCTAGGCTCAGCCCAACCCAACTGCCTTCCTGGACTGCCCTCCCACTCTCTCGCTCAGGAGCCTCCCAAACCAGGTACCTGTCTTCCGGGGAGACACATTATACTTGCTTCTCCCTCCCTTTCTCTCTGAGATCCCACCCTTTCCTCCCCAGGGCAGCCCTGCTCCGGCAAAGCCCACCAACTCTTCCTGATACTCCCAACCCCGTCTCCTGCAGATGCTGGGACCACCCCCACTTCTGCCCCAGGACTGAGGACGGAAGGCGGCCACCCTGTCTGTGTAATTTGATCCGTATCTAGCTGTGAGTGCTTATCCTGGGCAGGGATGGGGGCTCATGCTTGATCACCTCACGGGCTGGCTGGGGTGGTGGGCCTTGCTGTGCTGGCTCAGCATCACCTGGGACTGGTCCTGTAGGGCCTCCACATGCTCGGGATCCTTCAGGCCCCGCGTCTCTAAGGAGAAGCAGCAGCACCTGTCAGTTCCATGGCCCGACCCATGCTCCCAGCATGCCCTGCCTCCCTCTCCCTCATTCCAGGGCAGAGGGGAAGGGTGTCTCTGGAATTCCCAACCATCACCCTGATCCCACTTCCTCTGGAAGAAGGCTCAGTTACCTGGTCTGAAGAGCACCAGGGCTTTCAGGCAGGCAAACTCGGTGGGGTCCACAGCCAGTGCCCGGAACCGAGCAATGGTTTCCTGCAGTGTCCGCATCTCCACTCCGGCTAGCACCAGCCGGCCCTGGGAACCACCAGCGATGGCAGAGGCCTCAGGTGGAGGCAGTAGCGGGCAGCTGTCCAGAGGCAGAGACCACTGGATGGCCCCCAGGAGGAAGAGCTCGCTCCATGCCTCCTCTAGCAGGATCACCTGATTTAGAGAGGGCATGAGTGTTGGGGTTCACACACAGCCTGAAGCATACCCCCAAAGTTGTGGGGCGAACAGCTCAGCAGGCAGAGTCCTGACAGAGTCCTGATCCACCACCTAGAGCACCCCCCAGCCCCATGCCTCTTCTATGGGTTTACCAGAAGCCCAGTGGGGCATCGTGGCGTGGGGAGAAGTGGCTGAAGCCCATGCCCCAGAGTCGGGTGCTCCCAGAGGGTGGTCTCCAGCAAATACCCCAGGCAGTATCTGCAGGGGACCCAGGGTCTGGCAAAGGGAAGCCATCTCTTCTGCCTCCCGATCCCGTCCCTGTGTGTCCCCAGCTTGCATTGCCCCCTAGGTGTGCACCCCAATACTGTCCTTGTCCCAGAAATGGCTGAGGCTCCAGAATGATAGTCCCTGAGGCCTGCATGGCATCCCAGCCCCTTCTGTGGCCCTGGCCCTCCCCCGCTGCCCCAAACTGCACCTGATCACGGAAGGGCAGGTTGGAGAACGCAGGCAGGTTCTTGGCCCACTTTACAGCCATGAAGAGCAGGCGTGCTGACGTTTCGTGGACGCTGTCCAGGCCACAGGGGGATGCAGACACCTCAGGGTCATTGCTGGTGACATCGATGTTCCCGTCAGCTGTGGATGACTAGGCTGTGACATCAGTGCCCGCTCCGCTGGGGACCGGCATTACAAGCCCCTGACCATGACCCTTGCCAACCTCTCACCGCTCACCATCCTCTGGCTCCAGCTTGGTACACGTCTCGGCCGTGATGAGGCTGGCCATGAAGTGGTGGCCCAGGGCCCTGGCAGCAGACACAGGGGGCTGGCTCCGGGGGCTAGACCCCGTGGGGCCTGGGGGTGAGATGAGGGTTTCTGGCCCTCGAGGTTCGCTGTCCGCTTCCATGCTGTCCAGGCGGACCTGGGCTGTGCTGCGGGGCTGGCGCTCATTCTGCACAGCTGTGGAGGAAGGTGGGTCAGGGCACCCGGGCAGGCACACTGAGACCAACCCGGCTTGCATGGGCCAACAACTCACCGTCCTGGTTCATGCCCGCCTGAAGACACTTCTTCAGTCGGCAGGCCTGGCACTGGTTGCGATGGGCCTTGTCTACTGGACACATGCCTGCTCCAACCTGGCACCTGTGGGTTGGGGTTGTGGGCAGTCTTGAGGCCAAGACTCTGCCCGGGCCTGGTCCTTTTCTCTCTCAAGAATCTCTACTTGCCCTGGCATGGGGGGGTCCCTTGCACCTGTAGATGAGCCTCCGCCTCACACTCCTCTTGAAGAAGCCACTGCAGCCGTTGCAGGCGTAGATGCCATAGTGCTTCCCGCTGCTGCTGTCCCCACACACGCGGCACTGCAGCGAGGGGCCTGTGCCTGGGACGGGGCCGAGCAATGCTGGGCGAGGGAGGCTGTGCGCCCATCCCTCTAACCACAGCCTATACACACCTCCCCTCCTATTAGGAGCTAGGATAAGCACCTGCCTGCACTGTGTGCCCCCTGCTTGCTCTCACCCTCAGTGCTGTGCATCCTATTCCCACCTCCCTGCTCACTCTGCAGCTCCCATTAGCCAGACACACGAAGACCCCTGTGTCTGTCTCCGTGGGGATGGGATGGGCTGCACTGGCCCTGGCCCACCTTTTGTTTCCAGGCTGTGCCTAGCCCCCTATGCATGCAGGCTGATTGTTCTCATGCCTGCAGACCCCAGATCACACACCTGGCTTATTCCCCAGGCTCCACACCCCACCTCCAGGAAAAGCCATACCTGTTGGATCTTCCCCCAGGCCCCACCTGCCTGGAGACTCCTTCTGTGAGGCAGCCATGGCCGCAGGTGCAGGTGCAGCCATGGTGGAGCTTGTCAGAACTGCAGGCCCGCCCTGGATGGTGGTGGTGGTGGTGGTGTGTGTGAGGTCCTGGGGCAGCTGAGCAGAAACCCGGACCCTGCCCTTTCTGTCTCTCTACTTCTACTTCTCTGTGCCCCTGGCTCTTCTCCCTCTCCTTGTCCCTGGCTGTTCCCCCGTCTCTCCTCTGGACCCTCCCTGGCTCTGGCCCTGGGAGAAATCTCCCTGGACGGACGCAGTTTATGATCCTCTTAATCTTTACTGTCTCCGAGGGGGATCAACTGGGGAGACCTGCGCCAGTGCCAAGGTGCCCCGACTGCCGGCAGTCAGTCCTGGGCTGCCCCATGTATCCAGGCTGTTCTACCCTGTGCTCTCAGCTGCTGCCCACCCACTGCCTCCTTGTGAGGGAGTGGTGTGGTTACTGCCGTCAGGACTGGCATCTTTCTCAGCTTCACAGGCAAAGGCCTTCACCTGTTTGTGCCCCTGCCCTGAGTCCGAGGTGGCTATCATCCCAAATGCTTCGAGAAGAGATTACCTGAAGGCCATGCTCAGCGATTCTGGCCTCCTTGGAAGACCAGCAGCCCTGACCACCAGTACAGAGGAATGGTAATGGGCTGGAGGACTGGACAGAGCCCAGGGAATGTTTTGTGTGTAGCTGGCCCATCTCCTTCAGGTCCCAGTTCCAGGAAGCATGGAGACAGCAGGGTGGACTCGAGTGGCAGCCCCTAGGGCTTCAGTCCCTTCCCCTGGTAGCCAACTGGGAAGGCTTGAGTACCTGACTGGCAACCCTGGCCAGGTGGCAGTCAGGATGCTGGGATACAGCGTCCCTGCAGCCTGACCAAGGTCCTCAATGACCCCGTCAGGTTGCTGCTGGGGTTAATTAGTGGGACTGGGGGATGTGTGAAGCTTCTGGAAGGATCATGGTGCCTGGGGGGTGTGTCTTGGCCCTGACGTCAACGGGGTTAACCCTGCCTGTGACAGGGTAGCGCTACTGCGGATTTGAGAAGTCAGCTGGCATCCCTGCGGGGAATCCGCTTAGGGGAACTTGGAAGATGCAGGGCGGGGCTGTGTTCCCTCCCAGTCCCTACCCCACCCTCCTCTGCCAGGAAGCACCCAGGACCCTTTGTCCAGCAGGCACCAGCTCTGGAGGCCATCCTCCAGCTCTGACCACCTCACCCCTCTCTGTGGCTCCTACTGTCACTGCATTTCAGTTCACAGCTCTTACACAGCTTAATTCCCCGCCCTTACTGATCTGGGAGGGGCCCATGGGTCTCTAATCCTCAGGCTAGGGGAATAGAATCCCTGGAGAAGGGTGCTCTGGGGTGGGGGGTCCTGTCAGGGCCAAGGTGGGGAACTAAATGGTGAAGCTAAGGAAAGACCCCCAGTCCACCCCCATTCCAGGGATGGAGTTGATTTTCACATGGGAGCTATGGAAAGAAAGAGCCAGGGAAGAAAAGAGGCAATTCTGGCTCTCAGGAATCCTGGGAACCTCAAGGGGCCTGCAGAGGGGACACCTACGAGCCACCAGCGGACCAGGCCTGTGACTGCTGTAGCACCTTGAGGTGGGTCGGTGCTGTGCCCTGAGAAGGATGGGGTTACAGGCTCAGGAGAGAGGCTGGCCCTCTGAGACCCTGAAGCTCAGTGGAGTGGCAAGGCCTTGATCAGAGAGAGGATATGAGGGAGCCACTGGCTCAGGATGCACACTTGCACCTGGCAGGTGCACCCAGCAGGGTGGTGCCCCCAGGACTGGGTATCCTCCTCCGACAGGCAGGGGCTCCTTTGGGAGAAGGGCCTGCCCCCTCCCATTCCTACCTAGCCTTTGCCATTTCTCAAAACCTGTTCAGGGCTCATCTCCCCCAGACTTCCCAGCCCACCTACTCTCGCCTTCCTGAAGGCTAAACACCAGGTTAGCTATTGTCCAGATAAGAGATTTCAGGGGGCTGGATTTATGGCAGCCCTTGACCTGAACAGTGGGACTCCCCGGTGTTCTGTGAATGGGGATCTTGTTTCTGTTTTCCTGATACCCCAAAATGAGAGTGCACAGGCATGCATATACACACACACACCCATACACACACACACACACACTCGCATATACATCCCACATCCAAACCCAAGACACCTGCTGTGTCTAGCCTGCCCACTCTCCCATTGTTCATTATGACCTGATTTTCCTGGGCGTCTCACTTTGTTTTGGTGCCATGGCTCCCCCATGAGCCTGGCCCCCCCGGATTTCCCGGCAGCCCAGAGCTGGCTGTATCCTGTGTTGGGATGGGCCTGGGAACTGGTGTGTGTCCCCAAGCCTGTGACCACCAGCTGCTGGGGCAGACGCCAAGGGATTAACTCAGCCCAAAGCCTTGAATCTGCTGACAAAGCCACCAGAGGCCACCTTATCACTAATACAATTATTCCCCTGAGGACAGGTCAGCAACTTGCTCTGACTCTGTAGACTGGGGTTGGGGGAGGAGGAATGGGGAAAAGCCTATAGGGCCCAATTGTGCAGGGCCAGTGCACATGGGTCACCAGGCCTGAGGGGCTGGGGTTGCTCTGGAACGCTGCTTTGGGGTGGGGTGGATGGATGCCTTCAGCTCTGTTCCTGCCAGTGCAGCTTTGGCATGGCAACCCCATTCACAACAATGGGTCTGGGAACGCTTCTTGGGACATCTTTCTCTTTTTTTCCAAAAAGATGATTTTATTTGAAAAGCAGGTAGGGGGCAAGTAAGAGCGGGGCTGAGACATAGAGAGCCACTTTCCATCTGCTGATTCACCCCTCGAATGTCCTAATAACCAAGAGCCTGGAATTCCATGTGAGTTGCCACCTGTTGTCTCCCTGGGTTGCACATCAGCAGGAAGTGGGACCCAAACTCAGGCACTGCCCCACAACAGCCACTCCCATGGGGTTTTAAAAAAAAGATACTGCCCTCCCCCAGCCCAGTAAGGAGCATGGCTGTTATGAGCTGCAGGGGTCCCCAGGGCTGCGAAGGAGACACTCTGGGCCCTGTTGTCCCCATTCACCGAGGAAGCACCTGCCGTCCCCTGTGAAGAGTGCCTCAAGGGGGGACAGCAAGAATGCCCAGCACGGTGTCTGCCTGCAGAGGGGTTCTTCTACATCTGCAAAGTTTGGAAAGACAGTTTTTTTTCTTGGTGCAAGAGTTTTGAAGTCCAGAGATGCAAGTTGTGGTCCAATGGGACACCTGTGTCCCATATCAGAGTGTCCAGTTTGAGTTTTGTCCACTCTGCACTTCCCATCCAGCTTCCTGCTTGATGTGCTTGGGAGGCACCAGGTGACAGCTCCAGTGTTTCAGTCTGGAGCCCTGGACTGATAAACTTACTTTGTCAGGGTACAGTTAGGGCTAAGAGGGTAAGTGACAGGGCTAAGGGAGAACATACTGAGGTTATAGCACTTGAAGCTAGGGCTCTGACCTTGTGTGCCCATGGCGGTCATCTGGGAGGGCGGAAGAGACATACAGGGTGCATTGTGCCAAGAAGGAGTACACACCACACACCACACACACACCCTGTGTCTTAGATCAGCTGCAATGCTAACTGTGTCGTATGGCTGAGACCCAGGGCCCACGCACAGGGCTGGCTCAGCCAAGTCCTTACACGGGGCCAGCTGCTTGCAGCCTGCCTCCTGCCATCTGCAGCCCCAGCGCCCGAAGGTAAGCCAGGCCAGAGAGAGTACAGGGTGCTGACAAAGCAGATTTATCACATTTATTGCATTTTTTTGCAACAAAATGAATAAATTAGTCATACACAAAAACCAGTCATTTCAAATGGCTGAAGAGGAGCCAGGCTGCATTTTATTCCTGCAAAACAGCACCCGTGCTTCAGCGCCGTACACAACAATTTACCACAGCTGATGAAATGCAGAGTCAGTGGGAAATGAGCAGCGAGCCTGACGCTGGCCCCCAGCAGTCCCCAATTCCTGGGGGAGGGGGCACCCTAGAGGTGTCCCTGGGCCCCTGCTGGCAACTCCCTCGGGGCAGTCACACAGAACAGGACAAGGAGACCCTGTCCTCCGCTGAGCGCCAGCATGATGGGTGCTCAGACTGGGTAGAAACCCATGGGTGGAAGCCTCTGGGGTGATGGGAACAGGGAACTGGGAGGCATAACAACTTCTCCCCATGTCCATAGCCAGTTCAGCCACACACTGCGCATGCCAGGGGTAGCAGGAGCCTGTGATCCCACGCAAGGGTGGGTGGCAGATGGAAATAAATACTTTACAAATGAGCATATTCTAAAGAACAGAACCAGTTTTGTGTAGTGACTCGTTCTGCGAGTACAGGTCAGAATACGCATTTCCTATAAACATCTTGTATTTACAAAGCACAAATAATAAGTTATCACAGAGTCTGCCCTTCAGTCAAGGCAGGTGGCATGGAGTGTGTGACTTGAAGTTCCCAGCCACCTCTGTGGTCCCTCCACCTCCCTCAGAACATAGCCCAGGATGCTGAGACAGTGCCTGGGAGTGGGTGTGAAGTGGCTGAATGGGGGGTGGGTGGGTAGAAGCTGGCCATGTAAAGCTGAGTGACCACAGAAATAAATGGAACTGGATTGTATGCTAGTTCCAAAAACTTGTGCACAGAGAACAGCCTCATCCAGCAATCCCATTTTCTCCCATGCACATGTGAGAAGGATCTTCCCATCTGATGCCTCTCCAAGGTGTTTAGCATGGTGAGGGCCACAAGCTGGGCTGTCACCCTACAAATGTGATGCAGGTGCCTTTAAAGGAAGCCACACTTCCTGTCGCCGCCCCGTGCCTGTTTCTGCCACACCAGGAAATGGATGCTGCCACTCTCATGGGTGGACAAAGAGAGACGGCAACAGGGGAAGCTGCTGGTCTTCGCTCTACAGCACCGGAAATGAGAGAATCTGGCACCTCCCAGCTCTCTCCTCCCTAAGACCGTGGTTTTCAAAGGTGCTGAAGCCATTATCTAGAGACTAAGTGATCTACAGGCACAAGAGGGCGAGATCCCTACCCCATGGTTTGGCTCTGGATTTCTCACTTCTGCTGAGCTGAATGCCCGCCTACGCCCACGGTTCCATGGCTTCTGGTTACTGCACTCAGAGTTGTCTGTCTTGGGATCGCCCATCTCTGCAGGGAGACCTGGGAGTCACTCCTGGGGTGTGAACGAGGGAGCAGACTGCACGGCTGCACTAAGGCTGCAAGACACAATTTCCTTTGGCAATAAGTGAGAATAAGAAAAGCAAAAATATTTCTTGTCTGGAGTTTTGCTGATTTTTTTTTGTGAGGAAAAAGCATCCCACAACAGCTTTAATTTAATTTAAAACTTTCAGGGCAGGGTTCAGGTGCTCCAGTATGTGTGGGGAGTGAGGCGGGCTGGGAGGGAGAAGCAAGCATAAAAAACTAAGTTTCACCTCCAAAGGATGGCCAGGAAGGGACCTTGGGAGGAGAGAAAAGATGGCAGCAATGAAAGGGGGTTGGCAAATGTGGGTGCTAGGAGGAAGGGTTGCAGCTTGGCGGGGGGTGCTTCCTTTGGGCCCCTACTCCAAGAGACCATCGCCCAAGGACCCCAGGCTGTGACAGGAGGCTTGGTTTCGGGGGAGAAAGGCACTGAGCTATTGCTGTAAGAAAACCAGGAAACCAGCACATTTGTCTGCTAAGACAAATTCATAGCCCTCCAGGGCCAAGCAAGCAGCTCCAGCCACTGACTCCTGCCCTCTGCCTGCCCTCTGCCTGCCCTCCACCGCCAATGCAGGGCTGCTCTGCTTCCTGCTCCTGATCCCACAGAAGGGGTATGGTGCAGAACTGGCAGGTCACAAGAGCCTTGGGGGACAGGAACCCCGCTGGGCAGAGAAATCCCTCAGGAGGAACAGCTCAGGCAGCTGGGCCCTTCTGCCCAGCCTGGAGCCCCAACCAGCCTGCCCTCCCTCCTCCTGCCACTCAGTGTTGTCTGCTTTCCGTCCTGGAGAGAAAACCACACAGCCCCTGAGTGGGAGAGGATACGTGGGACTTTAAAGGAAGCAAAGGCCAAAGCCAAGGTCGGTGGTCAGGCCTGTGGACTCAGGACACCTTGCAAAGCAGACGAATGCACATTCCTCCCAGCTGCTTTGGCCACATGGTCAGGTGGAGTGAGGGGGAGGATGGGTGAGATGGCCCAGGCCTGGGGTGGGGAGGAGGTAAGTTACCAGGAGGGCCTAGTGTGGGCCCCACGGAGAAACTCAGACATCAGCCAGAAAGACAGGGATGGATGGTGGTGGTAACTGATCTCCAATCTCCTCCATGGCAAAATTTCAGGCAGAGGATGGAGCTGAAGGCACCTGCAGAGAGGCTGGGTCTTGACCTGTGACCCGAGGAAGTAATTCCAAGGCCTGGGCTTTGCAGAATGGGGGCATTCCTCATGTTTCTGACTAGACAGGGAGCCAGGGTGAAGCCTCTGGGGTCAAGGTCACTGTGTCAACAACCATTGGCAGGGAATCACTGAGTGGATGATTTTACCGGGCAGGTCCACCACCAATGTGGAGCCTTGGCTTTCCTGTCTACAAAAGGGGATGACTTCTGCGCTGTGAGTGGTTCACGAGCTGCTACCTGAGGCACCTGCTGAACAGTGAAGCCTGGGATCAGCACTTTGACAGGACACACAGCTGGCCTGAGGTAGCACAGGGGAGCGGCTACTGAGCCGAGCCTGGTGGGCTCTGGGCGGACAGGCCTGCCCTCCCACCTGCAGGAGTGTGGGGGTGAGACAGTGACCATGGCCCAGCTCGTTGGGATGGGAGTCTGGGCGAGACCGACAGTGCTTCCCACTGGCTGGTGCTGGGTCCCAAGGTAGGGGAGGGGTCATCCGTGCCCAGGGAGCTGCAGCCAGGACCAAGTCCTGGGCACAGGCTCCTAGAAGCCCTGCGGGGTGCTTCACTGAGGACAGGATGGTGACAGGCTGGTTATCAGGGCCCTGGGCCGGCCGGGAACCTCTGAGGGGAGCAGCCTCCAGTCAGTCACCCGCTCTTGGTGGTGGCTGCTTGGCGTGGGGTTATCTGCTCCCCAGGAAGCTGGTTTGCCGCTGGGCTCCCCGCGTGCAGGAGGCGCAGCAGGCAGTCTCGTAGTAGCTGTAGACACACAGGCGCGCCTGCACCACCACGTTGCAGTTGTAGTACTGGTCCTTGCAGTTCTCATCTGCAGTGAGAGAGCACAGAAGACCTTGGAGCACACTGGCGGCCATCTGGCCGGTGCCATCTCCCCATCATCCTCCCCTGAGCGACAATGATGGCTGTGGGGCAGGAGCTGGGCAGAGTGTCCCCTTTTGACTTTCACAAAGGCACCAGGGAACTTCTCGGAGTTCATGGAAAAATGCAATTTCAAGATAATTTCATTTTGTGCCAAAACCATTCTTTCAATCTCTGCATCACACACACATTCTCCATGACCTCCCTGAAGGCCTGCTTGGAGCATGACTCAGTGAACTGAGACCTTGCAGTCTGCGTGGAAAAACACCGAAGACACAGACACAATGGCCAGTGTTTACGCCACCACTTCGTTTTTTCATCCTCTCCAAATGTCCGCCTACTTGGCATCGAAACTCAGAAACAAAGCTCGCACGTCACATCTATTTCCCAGCTGGCTGGCTCGGCGTTGAACGTGGGCCATTTCCTCATGCTCAGTGAAGGCCCTGGCTCCTCTTCTTCTGTCTTACTCAACAGGATTCTTGTGTCAGAATATCCCACGACTGATGGATCGCCTAACCATGCCTGTGGTTTCTCTTATCCCTTTGTGGTATGGTTAGGTAAATAGAGGTTTTACATTTTAATCTAATTGCCATCGTATTGTTTTCTTTTACATTTTGAGGACTTCCTGGGGTGCTTGTCCCACATGCTGGTGCATAGTGCAGTTAGATATTTTTGAGTCACAAAACATTATCCGATTCATTAAGAATTCTTGAGGGCCCAGTGCAGCGCCCTAGTGGCTAAAGTCCTCGCCTTGAACGTGCTGGGATCCCATATGGCCGCTGGTTCTAATCCTGGCAGCCCCATTTCCCATCCAGCTCCCTGCTTGTGGCCTGGGAAAGCAGTTAGGACGGCCCAAAGCCTTGGGACCCTGCACCCGCGTGGGAGACCTGGAGGAAGTTCCTGGCGCAGAACCGGCCGTTTTGCTCACTTGGACGATCTTCCTCTGTCTCTCCTCCTCTCTGTATATCTGACTTTGCAATAAAGATAAATAAATCCTTGAAAGAATTCTTGACAATTTAAGCCCTATTCTTTGTGTGTACTGCACATTTTTGAAAGCATGTGTTAGTGAGTGGAATATCTGTGTACCATGAGAGATATTGCCAAGTTCTAAAATGATTACATCAAGTTACAGGTTCAGAACTTGACCCTTCCCTATTACTTTGCCAACACTGAACACTTTCTAATTCCTTTTCCAAAACGTTTGCCAATCTCATAAAGAAACGGGGATTCTGGTTATTTTAAGATTTGCATTTCCTGGTACTCCTAGGCTGAGCATTTCCTAAATCTCTTTCTTTTCTCTCACTTTTTTAAAAATTTAAAGACAAGTTTGTTTATTTGTTTGAAAGGGTTACAGGGAAGAGAGGAAAAAAGAGAGGAAGAGAAGAGTGAGGAGAAAGATGTTAGAGAGAGAAGGAGAAAGGGAGAGAGGGAACGGTTCATTTTCTAAATGCCTAGATGAGGATAAAGCCAGGGGTCTGAATTCCAACTGGGTCTCTCACATGGGTGCAGGGACCCAAGCATGAGGGCCAGCTTGCTGCCTTCCCAGGTGCATTAGCACGGAGTTGGATATTGGAAGCGGAGCAGCTGGCACTTGAATGGGCATTCATGTCAGGTGCTAGGTGCAGTGGCTTCACGTGCTGAGCCACAACATCAGCTCCATAATCTCTCCTTGATAAAACTCACCGCTTCTGCTTTCAAAAAGAGCTGATTTGAGCTCTGCAGATACTAGGAACTGAATGCTGTTATGACATCGCTGACCTTCACTTGATCCTAAGATGATGCAGTAAGGCGATTTAACAGTGACGCTTTAGGATAAAAAGCACAGTAACCTGCGCATATTCCAAAACGCTGATGCTGGCACCTGCTTCCCCGTGCATTCGCTTCCTCGGCCACCATGTCACCCACGTGCACTCCTCAGCCTTCTTTTTCCAACCTTGCGGGACGCACCTGTGTCTTCCTAACTCTGGCTAACGCCGGGACACACTCAGGAACCTCAGCTTGTGTAGTGTGACTCTGAGACCTGTCAGAGATGGCAAGGCTTTTCTTTCCATTTTGGTAATCTGGCGCTTTCCCTTTATTATTCCACGATATTTCACGTGATTGGAAGCTAAACAAAAAAGAGCCCCTGATGACAAATGCATCACCACAAGTCAGTCTTTGATGGTTGGCCAGGACGCCACCTGTGTTGCGAGCAGTCACCCTAAACCAAGATACTTGCAATTTCATCACGATGATGCTCAGGTCACAGAGAAAGACCTGGATAGATCCGACATCATCACCAAGGAAAGCACAAGAAAGTGTAATCCTTTCTCCAGGACGGAGGTATCCCCACTTACCAACTTCAGGGACGCAGTCCTGGGGGTTACAGGACTCCCTCTCTTCCGGTTTCAACTGTGGGTCACAGAGATTGCTTAGGGTCATGTCATCCGACAGGCACCGCACTTCCCGGACTCGGAAGCCACCCTGGCAGCTCTTGGAGCACTGCGCAGGAACAAGAGCAGGGGGAGGAGTCAGACTTTGCTCAGCACCCCTGGGAGGGGAGGCTCTGACCAACCTGAAACACCACCTGGAGGAGACAGACTTAAGCATCATGCACCTGCCCATCCATGTTAACCCCATGCAAGCCATCCATGCCACTCCCACCCCTCCACTGGATGTTGGAGCAAATCCAGACATCAGGCCACTCTGTCTGAAATCTCTCAGCCTGCAGCCTCTGAAAATTCCCACCTAGGGATGAATATTCCCTTCCTACTTCCTTCATACACTGTGTTCTTCCAATTCCTCCTGCCACACCAATCTCAGAGATCTCTAAAGTCAGACTTTTGCTCTCAAAGTCAGGTGTGCACACTTCTCTGGGCTGATGGATTCCCTCCTACTCTCCTCCGTTCTCCCTCAATCTAGTCCAGGAACTGGGAGTTCCCTGTGGTTTGGGCCTGGCTGACTACACTCCAGGGGTCAGGTCTTGGTGGCTCCTGCACATGGGAAGCTGGTCCCATGGCTTTGCTTTGTCCTTGGTGAGGCCACATCGCAGGGGAGGGGAGGCACCTCTCTTCTGGGGATCTCAGCAGCACTGACACACCATGCTCCTATCTGCTTGGGGTTGGAAGGCGATGATGTTTCCTTCCCTTTTCCCGTCTGGGGATGTTTTCTGAGAATTCTGCCTCCACTCCCTTGGCTACCTAATTTAAGAAACACAGCCAAGTGCTGTCCCTTGATGTACCAATTTTCAGAACCCAGAGCTGGCTCCCTAGCAGCCTGTGATAGTGGCCTATGGCTTGTTATTGACACACAGGAGTGGCTTGCTCCCACTGGCACTCACGCTACCCCAGCAGAGCCTACAGCAGCCTTGCAAGTCACTCTGCCTTTCAAATCAGCCAATCTTTAAAAATTAAAAATTCCTCAGTGTGGGTCTGCAGTCAACCTTTTACTTTTTTAAAGCTAGAAACCAACATTTCCTATATATTTTTTTCATTTCATTTGCAAGGCAGAGGGAGAGAGACAGCGACACAGAGAGATCTGTCATCTCCTGGTTCACTCCCTAAACACCCACAGCAGGTATGGTGGGCTGGGTTGAGACCAAGAGCCTGGGACTCCGTCCAGGCCTGCCACACTGGGGGGGTCCAGGGACCCAAGCACTTGGGCCACCCCCTGCCCCTCCCAGGGCACCCATCAGCAGGGAGCCGGACTTGAACCCAAGCACTCCTACACAGGACACCAAGGTATCTTAGCTGCTGTGCCTGCTGCTTGCCCCAGGAGTTGGTCACTTGTGGAGTGCAGGCAGGGGAGGAGAGGCATGCACACTGCCAACTCACCATGCTCCACTCGGTGCTGAACCACGTGGCACCACATGGCTTGAGGTGGCACGGCTGCCGGCTCAGGGGCCGCTCCAGGAAGGCGCACGCATAGGGCTCCAGCACTTCAAAGGCGTCTGCGTTTTTCCTCACACAGATCACCTCCCTCTGCTGTGTCCCAGGGCCACACTCCACGGAGCACTGGAGGGAGAAGGGGAAGAGCCGTGAGAGACAGGCGTTACGGAAGGATGGCAGGCAGGCCACCAGGAAGACAGGTGAGCGGGCAGTGCATGCAGATGTGCGTAGACGTCACCACGTCTCCCAGCCACGCAGGGCAGAAGACCAGAGGGCTCCAGAAACAACTCCCACAAAAGAGACTGGTGGCAGGTCCAGGGCCTCGACGACACCAACTCTGGTGGGGGCAGGCAGAGCCTTGGACACGCATGGATCCGGCACCCTGCTGCCTTCTGCACTGGGAAGAAAGCTGTTTCTGTCAACCTGCCATGGCACACACCTACCAGCCATCTTTGCCAAGTCTCAAAACAATGAACCGCCATGCTGGTTTTGCCTGCTGGGCCCTGGGTGGGGTTGGGGGCAATGGCCATGCCCTGTCCCACTCCATGCCTGTATCTCCTGTGCATGGAGGCAAAGTTGCAATTCTTTGAGGGCACAAAACTGAAAAACTGAGCCCAGCCTGGGGTACCCAGCGATCTCACCCAACAAAGAGGCAAGAAATGGGGTCATAGAGCCCGGCCCGTCGTTTCCAAGCTTGGAGCAATGCTCGCAGGGAGGCCTAGCAGACCAACAGAGACACACGGACACACGTCTCAGAGGCCTAGGGGGTCAACTCACGAGTCATTCTGTAAAGCGGTTCCCTCTAACGGCTCCCGACAGCAGACCTACAGAGAAACTGGGAGCAGGGCAGGAGTGGCACAGCTCCTTCCAATTTCACTAAAGTGTGCAGTCTGAGGCACCCCGAAAGCCTGCACCGCTGCCTTCTGTCCTTCAGGACCCCGAGGACTGCTGGCTTCCTCTTCTGGGGGGTCCCTAACCATGTTACAGGGCTCCCGTAACCCCTTCTGTCCAGCTGATTAGCATTAATCGGCCTGTCAATCCAGAAAACTCTGGAGTGAGAGCTGCGGTAAACGGGAGGAAAGCTGTGGTCTGCTCGGAGGGGGGATGTGGCTGCTCCTAAGTTAACATGGAGAGAAACATCATGCTTAACACTGTATGAGAAACTTAAGCGTCATCATTAAAGTCAGCACAAGAGATTTATAACTTTTAAAACCTCAGAGCGGAAGAAAGGAGCCCAGAAACCACAACCAAGGTGTGTGTTTGGTCACCGGCACACCTGTGTCAGGGGCCTGAGTTCCAGCCTCAGCTCTGCTTCTGATGCTGGCTTCCTATTCCTGCAGAGCCTGGCTGAGTGCCTCCTGTATCCTCTCTCGGGCTACGTGTCTCTCTCTGGAGAAGCCCCTGAGACCAGGCCTGCGGGATGTTGGGAATGCCAGCTCTCATTCAAGTGTGCTTGGAATGGATCTCCCTCCTCTGTTTTAAAATATTTACTTAGTTTATCTGAAAGCTTTTCCTAGGTTTATAGTCAGGGAGCTGGATTAAAAAGTGGAGTAGCAGGGACTTGAACTGTTGTCCCTATGGGAAGCCAGCACCACCGGCAGTGGCTTGCCTTTAATGTACTATAGCACTGACACACCTTATGTTTACTTTCTGAGGCCATATCACATGTAAGGCTTAACTTCAAATGTCCTGCATCCCAGCCTCTTGAGGATGACATCTAATTCCCAGGCCTGGGGGTGCCAGTGGGCTCTGGCATCCAGCCCTGAATCCTGTCCACATTCAGTGATGTCCCGGCCTTCTTGGAGAGCATTGAGACCCGTGTGCCTAATTCTGGCAGGAATAGAGGCTCATGATCCTGCACTCCTGGTTCTCTGAGCTTTCATGTGAAGGGGATGGAGACCCAGCACACTAGCCCACGGCTCTCAGGGTGGCGGCTGCGCAAACCCGAGGGCACAGCTGCTGCTCGCAGTGGCTCCTGGAGTCCTGGGTGCAATGCCATCCAGGGCTCTTCCACTGCCTCTGTTTCCATGGATATCTGGGTAATCAGTGCCCTTTAGGGGGCTGCTTTGGGGGCTAGATCCTGGGCATTTTGCTCCCAATATGAGCTTAAAGAAATAATCTGTTTCAAGGCTGCCTCCCCAAAGATTTTGTGACCTAGGCACCCTAGGCATGGGGGTTTGGGGCTTCCTTGGGGATGGGGCAGAGACTGGCATGTGGTGACCATAATCTTCATCTGTGAACGCTGAGACCCATGCCTGTCCTGGCTCTGGCAAGTTTAGGAGCTAGAAGAATCTCCTGCCTTTGTGTCTCAAGCTCCTGCTGACTCCCACAGCTTCCCACTCCATGGTGGACAGGGACATGAGGCCTGGAGCCCCAGGACAGGGGTCTTAGCCTGCCCAGAGTCGGAGATCACCACTTGGTGTGAGGTGCATGACTTCAGATGGTTGTCCCTAACTGTTCTATCCCCAACCCCAGACGCTTCCATGGGCTACCCCGGGATCAGAGGCTCTTTGCCGATAGCCACAGCCCTTCCAATCCTCACCTTTTTCCTGGGGTCCCTTGACCCTCAGACCTGAAAGAGGAAGTTAATATAAAGCTGGGGAGGGTCTCTAGAGCAGGGCCTGGCGGTAGGTTTCATCTCCTGTCTGCTCCTCCATGTCTGGGAGCTGCAGGTGCTGGTTTGGCCCCACCGTGTGTCCACTCCTGGGAGCAGGGATGGGCAGAAAGGCTGAGGCAGATCAGAGGAAGGACATGCCTGCCAGGTGGACTGATGCGTAAAAGTGCCTGTTTCCCCCACCACATACACCTGCCTTCCTGTAAATGGCAGGCTTGAAGCCAGCTGAAGCCTTGGTCTGTCTGGGGACTGTGTCAGCACCCAGGCTCAGAGGAAATGGGACAGGGCTAGACCTCAGAGGGACATGTGACTGCACTCAGAGGACATCTGACCCCTACCCTTCCTGGCAGTGGGGAGGTGGCAGGTACAGGCAGAGTGATGGGCCCTGGAACATTTCCTGGTCTTGTCCCCCTAAGGCATGGTGGGGCAGCCTCTAGGGGCCAGCACTGTGGCTACAGTTCACTGCCACTCTCTGTGGTTTTGTAAGTGATGCAGCTCTGAGTTGGTGACCAGCCATATGCCAAGTCACTTCAGGCCATGCAGTATGGGACCTCACAGCTGACAACCAAAACCTACAGACCCAAGGTAAGGGGAGATGCAGTTTAGAGCGCCTGCCATGGCCTCGGCCCGAGGGGAGCCCTTGAATCACAACTCAGGAAATTACAATCCCACCGTTGGAGGAGGGGACAGGCTGGGGAGCCTGAGCATTGGTCCAAGCCGGAAAACTCCAGGAAAGGCGGGCTCTGTCGTCACAGGGGCAACTTGGCCATTCTCCAATGGTATGCATGGTCTGTGCTAGACAGGTGGATTGATCAATAACATTAAGGAAATCTGACGTGACAACACTTCTCCATGCTGTGGATACAAAACCTCTCAGGCTCGCACCACTTCCTGTTGTTTTTCAGGTACCATGTTTCACCTCCCCTTCTAGGTCCCTACGGGGGCTGCAGGTGTCTCACAGGTAAGGTGGGCGGCAAGGATGGACAGCAAGCAGCTCTGTGGGAACGCCCCCTTTCTTCTGCTCATTATTTTTATATGATAACCACTCCCAAGAGGAGGGTGCTTGGGTTGAGGTGGATGAATACTTAGAAGGCTCAGCTCGGCCAAGTGGCTTTGCAAAAGGCAGCTATTAACTCACAAATGTCTGGTGTTTTCTCAGCATCTGTAATTAAAACTACTTAAAAGAAAACAAATTGTTTATACGTCTGGCTGAGGCCCTGACAGCAAGTAAGCTGAGATAGGCAGCCACCAAGTGCCTGGGGCACCTGCTGGCCCAGGCGGCAAGGACCACATAGCCCAAGAACTTGAACAGTAAGACCCTTGCGGGGTGGACAGAAGCCACAGACTTTTGCCCTGTGCTTTAGGAGGCTCATAAACCATTTGGGAGCAGTGTGGACAAAGCTAATGGATCATTTAAGCAATTCTGCTACAATATTCAGCCGCAGCTGCTTTTTGCAGTGAGCTCAGGCTGAGGGATACCAGGCCACAGCTGAGATTCCCAGTACGGTGCTTCCATTCCTGACACTCACCTGGCTCCAGCTCCCTGCAAACCATTCCACCTTGCCCGTGCAGGGTCCGTTGTCACAGGGTGTGGCCTCCGCTGGCCGGTTGTCCCCACAGCCCTCCAGGGGCAGGCTGCTGACGTGGTTGGCCATACATACCACCGAGCGCGTCCGTACTCCAGCCCCGCACTCCGCTGAGCACTGTGACAGGAGGGGTAGAGTGAGGGGGCTGTGCAGCCTGACACTCCCAGAGCCTCACCCGCACCCTTCCCCCACCCTGGCATGAGTCCTGCATGAACGTGTCTGCCTCATCCAGTCCACCTGCTCTCCCCAGCCCCAGAGCTCCCGCCCTCCCCCTCTGTGTGACAGCTCGCTCGCTCGGTCTCTCCGGCCTTCATGGAAGTGGGCTGAGTGTCAGGGTTCCCTGGGATGGTTTCCAGTCTGTGGCAGGTCAGTGCCTCCCCTGGCAGGGAGCCCCAGGGAACAGGCTGCACAGATACAGAGGTGTGGGTCCCGCCCACTGCACTAACACCTCCTCTTCCTGCCGGCGCCTGGCCAAAGCCCATTGTAGAAGTTTCAAAATGGACTTGTTTCTTTCAATCTTCCCTTCTTTAAACTCATCGTGTGCATTTAAGATATGTCACAGGGTGTTACAGATGCAAAGAAATAGCAGCAATTTAACATCCATCATCACACAATTTGTCTTTATGGTTGGCATTGTGGTAAAAGTGGTTGGGCCCAACTCATCCCATGCCCACTGCTGTTTTGTTACTATGAGTTCTCAGGTCCAGGGAGTCCTGAACTTACCTGTCCACTCCCTTCCCACTGCTTCACACTACCTGTATACCTCAATTTTCTATTTAAGATTCCACAGAGGGTCTGGCCTCGTGATGAAGCAAATTACACCACACCCTGCAATGCTACCATCCCATATGGGTGACGAGTTCGAGTCCCGGCTGCTCCATTTCTGATCCAACTCCCTGCTGGCACTCCCAGAGCCTCACCCTTCCCTGTGTGCCTGGGAAGGCAGCAGAAAGTTGCCAAGGTGCCTGAGTCCTTGTCACCCATGTGGGAGGCCCAGGGATGGAGTCTCAGGCTCATGGCTTTGTTGTTGAGACCACCTGGAGGGTGAAAATTATAAGACTTCTTTCTCTGTTATCTCCCTTTCTATCACTCTATCTTTCAAATAGATAAATCTCCACATACAAGTGAGCACAGGCAGTGTTCTTTCTGTGTGTACTGGGACAAGCCCCTCCTGGCTCATCCCTGTTGGGCTAATGGCGGGCTCCTGTCTCTTTTCAGGGTGGAGGGGTGCTCCACTGTAGTCTCATATCTCAGGGTCTCCAACCATTTAACCACTGTTGACAGACCCCCCAGCTGCGTCTGTGGATCAGCTGTTCTGAGTAATGCTGCAACATCACTGTTCTTTTCTTCCTCTTTTTAAAAAAGCCATCAAGTTTCAACAGAATTTTTAGCACACACGAGGCCCAATTCCTAGCACAAGTGCCTACTTGCCATCTTCTTCATCCTTCACCCTGGTGTCTCCTACAGGCACCGTGCAGCATTCGCGAGCATGGCTGTGCTGGTGGCAGAGGGATGGAGGGGATGCTGCAAACCCTGATGGTCCTGCACGTGCGTGGGGAGCGGCAGGTGCAGGGAGGGAAGAGGGACTCCGGCAAAGGCGTCTTCCCTGCCCCAGGAGGAAGCGAACACACCTGGCCCTGCAGACGTGGCCCTGATCCCGAGGTGCTATTGCTGCTTTAGATCATTGAACTAGAGCTCAAGAATCCCACGGGTACAAGGGTGTCTGTGGACTCTTCACACACACTTTCCCTGATTTTTGTGTTTGCATCATTGTTGGAAATTCCAGGTGATGCTTCAGCCCCTTAGGCTCAAGGCAAACAAAAGACAAAAGCAAAAAACAAAAATCCCCAAACAAAACAAAACCCAAACCAACTTCCCTTGTTGCAGTGATTGGAACATTCTATTCTAGGCTAAAGGGTTGGATTTCAGTCATGGCTGATCTGGTCTCCAGACTGTGAAATTCATAATGCTTCGAAGTTCCAATCCAGCTCCCTGCTGCCAATGGCACGAGAAAAACAGTGAAAGATGGCTCCGGTGCTAGGGCCACTGCCACACGTGTGGGAGACCCAGAAGCTCCAGGCTTCTGTCTTCAGCCTGGCCTAATCCTGGCTGGTGTGGCTACATGAGGAGTGAACCAGCAGAAGAGAGGTCTCTTTCTTTCTGTCTCTCCCTTTCTTTCTGTAACCTGGCTTTGAAATAAATAATGTCTTTAACCATAAAAAAAAAAAGTCTTGTAGATAACACAAAGCAAGTAAAATCTCAGCTCTTTTTTCCGTGTTATAAATCCCCCAAACATTTATTTCCACCCAATTTTCATCCTGAGACCAGAGAGCTTCTTTCCTATTTCTTCCACCGAGGCGTGTTCATGCACGCAGGTACCTGGGCATGCACCTTCCTCCCCCTGTCCCATGCTATTGGAAAGGTCAGTCCAGCACCAGTTCAAGTGGACCTTGAACTGTTCCTGTCCCGCCTGTCCTGGGGAGCCCATGCTCACCCGCTCGCTCCACTCGGTGAGGAACCAGCTCTTGGCACAAGGTCCCATGTCGCAGTTCTCAATGTCGCTGGGCCGCAGCTTCATGTTGCACTCCTCATCGGCCACCACATCCCCGATGTTGCTCACACACTTTACGTCACGGGTCCGCTGGCCCACGCCACAGGGCACGGAGCACTGAAACACACCAGTGGTCTCTGGGTCCGTCACGATGCCTGGGACTAGGGTTTTGACACTCACCACCCTGTCTTGGATCCATCATCTTTATCGTGGGAGGTAGGTCGGACCACCTGCAAAGCCACCTGTGGGGAAGCACACTGGCCGACCCCTCAGAGAGGCTGGTGTGCCTACCCACGGAAGTGACTTTGGAACCTGGGACGTGGGGCCCCTCCCAAGAGCTCAGGGCTCTGCCAGCCACCCGCCCGCTGGCCCTCCTGCCCACATGCCATGTACCGAGGTCCAGTCGGCCCGGATGTGCCACTCGCTGCAGATCTGGAGCTGGCAGGTGCTGGTGGTCTCAGGCCGCTCCAGGTGTTGGCAGCGGTAGGGCTGCACCGTGAGACTGCGGTTGGCATACACCTGGCGGCACAGCACTTGGCGGTGTTGCATGCCGAGGCCGCAGGTCTTGCTGCACTGTGACCACTCGCCAATGTCCCAGCTGGCCCAGGGAGGGGACAGAGGACACAGCGTCAGTGTGTGTGGGAAGCTAAGTCTACTCTATTCCACCCTTAGCACCTCTGCCTGGGGTGTGGCCGGCACTTCCACCTGCACTGAGAAAGAGGGAAAATGCTTTTTTTTTTTTTTTTTTCTCTCTATCACAAAAGGTGAGTGCAAAGGCCAGTCTCCATACAGTTTGGAACCAGCTCAGGACTCTAGCTCCAGCACCGTAGGTCACTGTTTTGTGTAGACTGCTCCCGCACGGCCACCATCCTGTTGAGTCCCTATTTAGTTAAACGTGACAGGAGTCCAGGCTTTGCTGGGACCCTCCGAGGACCCCACCCGCCGGCTCTTCTGGAAGTGCCCCGTCACTCCCCAGCTAGCCTGGACCTGCGCGTCAATGGCCTTTGTCATCTACTGTGTGTCCCATGCACCCTGCTTTCTGCCCCAGCAAAATCCTATGGGCTCCAGTTCCCCAGAAGGTGGCGTCCTTGCTGCACCCGCGGAAGGCACCAGGTTCCAGCTCCCTCTGAGAGATGGGCAGGAGGCACCGAGGTCAGCCAAGCCCTGTGCTGCAGTGGGTCTCGGGGCCTCCACGCCGCTGGCACCTGTGTGGGAGAGATCTACTTACTAGGCCGGGCAGGGGAAGATGTTGCACGGCTCTGCCTCAGGGCTCGGCTTCATGCTGGCGTCGCAGTAGCTCTCGGGCGCCTCCTCATGCGTGCTTCTGTGCACACAGCGGAAAATGGGTGACTGGGATCCTGCAGGGACATGGGAGCGCGTGAGGGGCCCGCCAGCCTCTGGCCCACGTGTGCAGATTCAGGAGCGGAAGGGAGGGAGTCGCTGGGACAGTGAGGACAGCTCATACAATAAAACACTCTGGCAACACACGTATACACGCGCACATGCACTCTTTGTTGTTTTCAGATTTATTTATTTTGATTGGAAAGGAAGATATGCGGAGGAGGAGAGACGGAGAGGAAGATCTTCTGCCCGATGATTCACTCCCTAAGAGGCCGCAACAGCGTGAACTGAGCCGATCTGAAGCCGGGAGCCCCTCCGGGAGCTGCATCGGAGGTGGGGCTGCCGGGGTTAGCTCCGGCATCCATATGGGATTCCAGTGCATGCAAGGCGTGGACTTTAGCCACTAGGCTACCACACTGGGCCCTCACAGATGTACTCTTATACACAGCGTATGCACCGACACAGATACAACGCCTGAACTCACGTGTACACAGACGCCACACACATGCAACACAGGCACATCACAGCGACATGCGCACTCACACACAACACGTGCGCTCAGTTATAACACTGAACTCAAACATGCACGGATCAACAGATACACTAAAGATGCACTCACACACAACACACACACCACACACATGCAACACAGGCACATCACAGCGACATGCGCACTCTCACACAACACACACACAATGCAAACACTGACACACAACACTCATAGACAACACAGGAACGCACAGGTACAAACACGCACACGTGCTACATACAACACAGGCACTCACACACACGTACAACGCACTCATGCAACACGGGCACACACAGGCACACATGCTTACAACATTACACAAATACAGATGCATCCTATGAACTCACACACCACACAGGCACACATGGGTACACACACAACACACACTCACATATAATAATACATGCAAGACATGCACTGACATGCAACACACACCACAGCACGTGCGATCACCTGGACACACAACCCACGCATTCACTCACTCACTCAAACACTCACACACCCTCACACGATACACTCACAGTCACGCTCCTTTCTCTTGTTGCATTCACATAAAAAGATACATCAAAAAGCTCATGGAAAACTAAATGACAAGACAGAGCCGCAGCATCCTCCCAAATCTGTGGCAGGTGTGGGCCTTGCCAGAACTATACCCGCCTCCCCAGGGCTCTGCTAGAACCCCAGGGTGCACACAGGGAACTCAGTTCCTGCTCCGAGAGGGCTAGCTCTCCAATGAGACCTGGTCTGGCGCTGAGACCTATGCCATCACAGTTCTGGGTGACAAAGGAGAGGCTAGGGGGCAGTGGGAAAGGCAAAGCAGACGTGGTGGGCAGGCATGTATGTGCGTGTTGGACATGTGTGTGCGGGCATGTGTAGGTGTTGGCACATGTTCTGTACAGGTGGGTGGGCAGGCACGTGTATACATGACAGTCCTGCGCACACACATGTGCAGGTATTTGCATGTATGTTGGACAGGCATGTGTCCAGATGTGGCAGGCAGCTGTGTGCACGCTGGTAGGACAGGTGTATGCACAGCTGTGCTGGGCAAATGACAGGCACGTCGGGCAGGTGCTTGCCTCATGTTAAACAGATGTGTGCACACAGGTGTTGAGGAGGCTGTCTAGTCACTCAGGTGGAAGAGCAGTGCCTGTTGGGGAAACTGCGGGTGTGTTTTGGGGATAATCATGTTGAAGTGGAGAGGAACATTCCAGAAGGACAGGAAGCGCTTCCCTTCCCTGTACAGCTCCCCCACAAGGACTGACTGGGGGTACTGTTGTTATAGGAGAGGATGTGCGGTCCTCATTTCCACGAGACACATAAGCCCCAGGAGGAAGCGTGGCACCTTCATGTCCGTGACGCCAATGTCGGGCACAGCAACAGGCTCGTAGGATGATCTCTTCCCAGGAGCCTAACAATGTTTTTGTTGTTTTGCTAAGCAATGCTCTCTTCAAACACGCAGCCCTGTTGCATCAGCTTAGACAGGAGATATCCATTTGGTACAAAAAGGCAGAACTTTCAGGCTGGAAAGGCTGGAATTTTCAGTTCTCAATGGAAAGAAAAAGAAAAGAAAAAGCCAATTCTGCTGCTGCTCTCTGCTGCCACCTGCTGACACTCCTGAGACATCATGGCCAGATGGTGCCCAAGGGAGAAATGTCACTCAGAGGGGGTGGGGTGTGCACCAAGATCGGAATTCTCCCTCAACCATCATTCCCCTTCCGCGGTCCTTGGGGACAAAGGCGACGGTGCAGGCGATTTATCCAATAGCTCACCTCTAAGGCCTAGGATTGCAGTTGGTTGTGGTTGCAATGGCCAAGGCAGAGGCTAACTCTGTGCCAAGTCTCCCCATGACACACCCTTCATCCTCAGCTGTTCTTGAGGCCCCGTGGAGCCAGACCAGGGGTGGTGGGGGGAGGGTGGGCAAACAAGGCAGTGGTGGGTCACTCGTTTAAATGACCCTGGCAGCAGAAGCATACACGCAGATGCAAAGCGAGAGTATGCCTGGATTAAATACTCTCACCATGAGGCGTAATCATGGCCGATGTGAGCCAAAATTGATGTGAAGCAGAAAACAAAACAAAACTGTATTGGAGTCTCATTTTATGCAATGACATCTCTCCTGAGGGAGATTTTAAAAAATCAAATCTAACAGGTTTCTGGCGCCCTGACATGAATCAAACAGTCCACAGACTGCAGGGTACCTGTTTTGGACCTTCTCTGAATGGGCTGGGTCAAGGCCAAGTGCTGCCCACTGCCCGAGTCTCTCTGTCTCCCTGGACACTCTGCCATTCTTGCCTCCAGGGACTACCTGCAAGCTCTCCCTGCAGAAAGCACGCTGCGTCTCTCAGTAGGGCACCTGGCCACCTCCCATGCCCAGGCCCCGACCCCATTACCCCTGCACCACTAGCAGGCAATGGCAGGGTGATGAGGACAGCTGGTGGCCCGGGGGTGGGCCTGTGTGTTAGAACATGCGTCGGCTGCAGCTGAGGAAGGCCCTGAGCAAGTGAGGCCACAGTGGCGGGGAGAGTGTGGAGGTCTAAGAAGTTAGAGAGACACGAAGGAATGAGCTAGAAGAAGAAGTGGGGTCAGCCTGGGGATCTAGCGCTCAGTTGAGCTGAGCCACTAGAGCATGCCCAAGGACAGGCAATGCTGGAAGCATTTTCCTGAAGGAGGGATTGTCTCGCCAGGGACTCAAGGCTGTGGTCTGATTTAGCCCCCTGAATCCCCATCTCAACCAAGATATGCCTTTTTTCCCCAAGGAGAATGCCCTGGGCTGAAATGATACAAGACTGTAGCCACGATGTACATGAATAGGATGTGGCTTGTGTACTTACGCAGGCGTACAAACATGTAAAACACAAGTTCACAATGAGGGGAGGGGGAATACAAGGAGGCTGGCCTCGGAGCGGGGGGCGCCCTGAGGTCCCTGGGACTTACCTACCCCTGGGAGGCAGGCTTGGCTACTGGCCAGGGGAGTCTCCCTCTGCCTGTGTTCCAATGCCACCACTGCCCTGGTGGAGAAGGACCTAGGGGGGCTTGTCTGATCAAGAACTGTGGCTCAACATCAACGTGTTGCCCTTAAAGTGCTGGTTCCTACAGGCATTTCCTCATGGGGTTGAGGAATCCCCTAACAGAGCTTGCACACTATGGGCAGGCTCAGAGCTGCTCTTGTCTGCAGTCTGCTGTTCTAGCAAAGCTCACACCTACTGTGGATGTTGCGGGGGACATCAGGGGCCTGTTTGCATGGACGCTCCCTCCCCAACCATCACAGCATCCCTGTGGCTACAGCTGACGGCCAGGGCTCCACACTGCCCTCCCCATGCTCCTGCCTTGCCCTGCCCACCTGGAACCATCCCCACTGGGTGGTACCAAATGGGCTGAGGAAGGGCACAGAAGCAAGGAGTGTGAGGCTCCTCCTGGAGCACACAGGGAAACAGCCCCTGTGCTGAGCTGCCAGTGTCCACCTGCACGAAGGTCAGGCACCTACACAGACCACACGACACAAAACCACATATCCATCACGTCTCTCCTTCCAAGGACTTTCCCGATTTGGCCCAGCCCCTAGGATAACCCTGCACTTGTGCGCTCAGCACTAGTACACTGACCAGTACACTCAGGCTCCAGCGCCCAGGCTATCTGGTCCCTCGCCCTACATACTGCAGGCTGATTCTCCCACAGCTTCCGGGAGATGGAATTTGCTAACACCCGTCTCCCTCACCTGGACCTCTGTGGGCCCCCCACCCCACGCCCCTCACCTGGGCCTCTGCAGGGGTGAGCCCTGCACTCGCTCACCTTTCCCACAGGTGGCCGAGCACTCCGTCGTTCCCAGCTGTTTCCAGGTGTGACTCCGGCTGCGCCGAGGCGGCTGCGGGGCTGCCGGGACTGGCTGATCAGGATGGTGGGAGGCGAACCTCTCAGGCTGCCTGCCGGGGAAGGCCTGGGCTGATCCTGTGGCCAGTGTCTCAGGCACCTCGGCACCCGTGTCCTGCGTCTCCTGGCTCCTCTCCTCTGCCCCCTCGTCCTGCCTCCCATCTTCCTTCACCAGCTGCCCGTTGAACGGCTGCCCTGGGAGGGGTGGGTGAGGAGGCATCAAGATCAGTGTGAAGCTGGCATGGAAGAGGGTGGCCGCCTCTGTGACGGAGACCACACTGCATAGGAGCGTTGCCACCTCACGGCACACGTTTAACACGGGCAGGCACGGATGGTCCTGGTCTCTGAAGTGCTGCCGGAAACCCACAGGGCAAAAAGCAAACATTTAAGCCAGAAAAGCAGACGAGGCCATGAAAAGACCAAGATGGCGAGCTCCATCTGCGATGACAGAGCCAAACGGACACGGACAGCTCCACTTCCCAAGCCCAGGGACTGGGAGCTCGGGACAGCCTGCCACACCTGACCCTCTTAGACGAAGGAAAAGACCCTTTATATATATATAATTATATATATTATATATAATATAATATATATAATATAATATATATAATATATATTAAACTATATATATATAGTTTAATTTTTTCTGATTTTATTTTGTATTTTTTGTTTTGGAAAAGACCCATTCAATGGTTGTGGACAGTGTGCAAATAAAGTCATGGCTACTTTTAAAAAATTATTATTATTTGAGAGGATAGACAGTAAGTGAGCCAGCAAGCTCTAATCTACCGCTTTTGTCCCCAAATGTCCACAACAGTCCCCTGCTGGGGAGCTGAAGTCAGAAACTCTTCCCAGACCTCCTGGATGGGTGGCAGGGAGCCAGCTACTTCAGCCACCTCTGCTGTCTCCCACGATCCACATTAGCAGGCAGCTGGGGTCAGGGGTGGCACCAGGGCCACCCACATGGGTGCAGGTGTGATAATCAGACACACTGGGCACACACCAGAGGGGACGCATGAGGAGGAGGACTGAAGAGAGATGGGCTGGCCAAGTGGCTCTCACCTGGCCTCCTGAGGGGTGGCACCTGTGGGCTGATGGTGTTGGCATCCCGGATGACATACTCGTAGTGCACTCCAGGGTTGGGCTGCTGATGTATCATCTGCAACGTAGAAGTCACCATCACTGCACCCATGCCCTTCCCGCTGACCCGGTTCTCAAGGGGCAACTGACCCAAATGATAAGAGAGTAGTGGGTGGGACTCACATCCTATTATGTCATGACTACGGGGCAGAATGGACCGAGGTAGACTCGTGGGGCTCTTGTTAAAGAATGCGGAACGAGGCTGAAAGACAGGAGGGATAGCAGCAGAACCCGTTACCTGGGCTGTGATTCTGCACAGAGCTGGCCCCGAGTAGACAAGTGCATCCAGGCTGCAGTGGCAGCAGATGGACACCAGGTGGCGAGCCCGAGTCTCGTGAGCCAGGCCCAGAGCTCCGTGGCCTAGTCCTCTCCTCACTGGCTAAGCCCCACTTGGCTCGTCCGTGCAAAACCCAAGAACCACAAGGGCATGGGGTCAGGAAAGCAGGCACAGGCGGCATAAGGCTGCCCGAGTCATATTCTCCCTGGAGTCCACGGCAAGAGGAAGGACTCTGTGTGGGGCACAGAAGCTAGGACCTGGTCAAGCACACACAGGAGCAGCTCAGCAGCCCGGGTCTCTCCCCATTGGTCTTGCGTCAGAGTCCAGGGTCCTTTGTGCCCCTGTTTTTTTTTTTTTTTTTCTGGCAGGCTGCAGGGGAAGGCTCTGACAAGGAGGGCCCCAGGTTCCTGCTACTTGGACCTAATGAACTCTCCCGCCCCACAACTTCCCATTTGCACAACCAGAGCTGGTCCAAGGCTGGCCTTGTGCCTCCCTTGCCTGTGCCTCTCCCCGTACAAACCTCGCCCCAGGCGTGACATCACACTGGCTGTGGTGCCTAGACCACCCAGGTGGGCCTTCCATAACCTGAGAATTTGGGTTTTTTTTTTCCCCTCCAATGCTGCTCAGAATTTACCCAGAGTCAACCACCTTTGCTGGACAGACTGAAAGAAACAAAAAAATGCTTGAAATGAACTCTAACAAAAGTCTCCTTTGTCACTTCTCTCCTGCCAGGTGGGACAGCAGTGGGGTTGGAGAAGTGGTGACATGGTAACTAAACAACATTCCAGCACTCGGACACCGCGCATGCCAACGCGAGCAGTGGTCTACAGGACAAAGGATCAACAAAGCCTGTGGGAGGACGGGGGCTTCTGAAAGGCATGGGAGAAATGCAATCAAAAGACTAGTTCGTCCTGGTGCAAAAAAATTCTTATGTCCATGCACTGGAGGGAACGCATGTTTAGCAAAAGAACAGCGACAGATACCAATCTCGGGGCACTAAAGTAAATGTAATTTTCATTCCATTTTCCTGGGAACTTTGAGAAATCTCTTCATATGCTTAGGGGTGAGCTTATTATGATTGCTTTTTAATAAATGATGATTTTTAGCATTGACTCAACCTTTATTTTCTGCTCTCTAGTGGATTCTCTGAAAATCAACAGGTCTTCTCAACTCTTGGGCAACCTCATGGAACGTTAATGAGAGTCAGTCTCCTGCAGAACTGAGAATTTGCCAGAAGCCCTTCCCAGACACCCTGAGGTTTCTAGTGCCTCCTGAGGGTACCCTGGAGCTCCCCATTTTCACCATCCTTTTTAATGCAGCGTGGTGAGGAGGCTGAGTTATGGGCCTTGCTTTGTGCATTGAAAGAAAACGGCACATTAACCCTGGGAGTGGGGGCCTGGAGGAGGCCCAAGCACAGCTCTGCTCTGGCTTGGCAAGCACCATCGGTTACTGTGGGTCTGTGTATTCTGATGCTTGCCAGAGCCAGCCTGGGCAGAGAGGAACGCCCAACTTTGAAGTCAGGAGCACCCCCAGAGGCCCTGTGTTGCTTCTGAGATCTGAGGGTGTTCCCTGGGAAGCCACAAGACCCAAGCCACATAGAAGAGTCTAGAAGTAGCAGACAGACTCACATAGACGTCCAAGATCTCGTTGGTGGGCCCTTCGGCCAGGAAGGACTCCCCAGCAGTGCTCGAGATCTCGTTGGGGCGCTTGTAGGTGAACATGGTTCCTCCACCCTCGTATTTCCCAGGCCGGTCAATGGCCCAGTTTCCGTTGATGATGGATCGGCCGGAGCGACTCCGCAGGGCTGGAGAGAACATGAGAAACGCGGAATGGGCAAGAGGTGCCTATGTCCCCCTGTACCCACTGTGGCTGGGGGTGTGGGCTCATTCACCCTGTTCAGCCAGCCCTGGGCAGGGTCCATGGGCGTCCTGCACCCGAGCCAGGCACCCAGAGCACATGCCCGTGGTCTCCTCATTGTCTCAGTGTCCCTCCTCCCCCGGTGGACTTGGCATAGAAGGATGGAGTGCAGAACAGGGTTTGGGAGATGAGAGTGGGTGTGAAGCGCTGGAGAGGAAGAGGAAAGAGAAAGGGGACAGGAACACACTGGGCTCTGCTGCATGCCTTGCTGTGGGAGGGGACACGCTGGAAACACAGGAGTGCTGACTTTGGCCAGTAGGTGGGCTTGGTTTGGCTTCTCTAGTGTTTTTCTAAAGCCTAATGGAGCCTAAATGGAAGAATCTGGAGAGTTCATTTAGGAAGCTGGAATCACAGCTTCTTGTGAAACAGGAGGCCTTATTAGCACAGGCTTGGCCTCCTTCCCACAGCGGGGTTGGGGAAGGTGTGTGTGTGTGTGTGTGTGTGTGTGTGTGTGCAGAAGGTGGGGTTCCTTGGGTGGGTGGATGGGCCACAGGCTCTGCTGCCCCAGTCTCCACCCCGCCCTCCTGCCTCCGCTGCTCAGGCTGTTTCAGTTCAGCTTGCATCTGACAATGTGCACGGTTTGCGATGTTGATGACCAAGCCCAGCACTGACCTCCTGTGTGATTTTTCCCACTCGTGATAGGGCTCCCAGAGGTGCCCGTGACTACTACTCAACCTTGCTGGCTTTTTTCCCCCTGTCTGCCTGAGATGGCCTCTGGTTTTGATGCAGCCACATACACAGAGCACTGACCTCAGCTTCCTGCAGTGTGGGCCAGAGCTGAGGTGGAGAGGGGGGCATGTGGGGCTGGGAGGGACAGAACTGAGGGAGCCCACACTGGCAGGCAGACAGGGTACAGGATGTCAGGGGAGAGAGAGAAGGGAAGCCCTGTGCCAACAAGGCTCCTTCAGATGCCCATGGCTGCTGTTCATTGTACCCTCCCCTTCACAGAGCTCTTAAACCTCCCTTTCCAGGGTCACAGACAAATCCACAAACGCACCCAGAAGCAAACAGGGATGCTACCCACACCAGCAGCCGGGAATTGGCGACTCAGCTTGCTCCCTGTTCAAATACCAGATCCTTCCTGCCTCCCATTTCCCAGCAGGTGTCAACAGCACAAGTGGGTTCTTCACTTAAGACCATTTTCACCCAGCTCAGTGCCTGCAGGGTCAGAGGGCAGACGTTCCCTGCCCTGGGGCCCAGACCCTGTAGACTGGATACATGGCTGGATGCTTGGGGTGGCTCCTCGGAATCTGCCAGCTGTGGAGGCCTGAACACACTCGGTCAGCAGTCAGATCCACCACGGGACAAGAGGGGATCAAAGCAGAGGTGTGGCAAGGGCAGGGTCGGGCTGGTTTTTAAAAATTAATTAATTAATTTTAAAAATCAGGGACTCCAGTCCTTCCACTCAGCACTTGGCAATTCCTTTTTCTCCTTTGCCCAACCAGGCACCTGTCTTTGTGACTCCACTGAAGAGCCACTGAAGCTGCACTGGCCTGACTCAGCCTGACTCCGTGGGCCCAGCTGCTCAGTGCTTCCCAGGCCCCTCTCACCAGCACCTGGGCCCCTGCTCTGCTCAGATATCGCCTACTCTGCCCTCCTGCCCGCCTCCCCACCTGCAGATTCCCGTAGACCTTGCTCGGCCTCCCTCCTGCTCACGGGCTCCATTCAGCTTTCTGCCTCATCTGCACCAACAGCCACACAGGGGGCACAGCTGATGCCTGCAGGTTCCCAGCCTCACACACTGGTCCCAGCATGGATGGCACCCCAGAATCTCCAGTTGCTCCACTTCCCATCCAGCTCCCTGCCTTGTGGCATGGGAAAGCCGCTGAGGATGGCCCAAAGCCTTGGGACCCTGCACCTGTGTGGGGAACCCAGAAGCTCCTGGCTCCTTGCTTTGGATTGGCTCAGCTCCGGCCATTGCGACTATTTGGGGGAGTGAACCGGCAGATGGAAGATTGTTCTCTTTGTGTCTTCTGCTGTAAATCTGCCTTTCCAATAAAAATAAAGTCTTTTTTTTTTTTTTTTTAATGCAGGTCAAGTTCCTTCCAAGTGTCCTAATATCTTAGCAGGTGTTAGAAGCTGCTAGGAGGCAGTCACCAGTGAAGGTCAGGGCCCGGTTTCTGTTCTTCTAGGAGCTTTGGAAGCGCTCATAATGCTTTGCTCATCTGCACAGCCAAAAATGGGCTGCAGCTGCAGACACTGGTGTATGATGAGCCCACCAAAGCTGAGAGTATTGTCAGCGGGATGTGTATCAGGGGTTAGCTCAGCTGCAATAGAGCATGCTCATCACGCTTATCAGTCTGCTCTGGGCCAAAGCATCTAACATAAAAAATATGTTGAACATCTGACCAGCTATACCGGACATCTCGAAGGCTTTATTAAGCACCTCATAAAAGCTACTGAGTATTTCACGTGCTATGTGGCTATTTCACGTGTTCTACCGAACACTTGTATCCAAAAATTGCTGGCAGCAAAGCACCCTTTGAACTGTGTAGCTCACAGGGTGATGTGAGGTGGGGAGGGTGTAGCTGATCCATGACAGAACCATGCTGCACGCCGCTCACTAGTTCAAGAAAAGCCCAGACTCACTTTCACACCACGATAAAGCAGAAGACCTCCCAGGGTGGGGAACCATCGCAAACGGGTGTGGTGTGCGGGGAAGCTGGGCACTTTGCTCTTTTGGAAACAGACCACAGTCGCTGTGACTTGGTCACCGGTGGGACTCACCGATCCTCTAACCACACGGACATGGCAGGTGTCCTGATGCATTTCACAGCCCTTTATGACTGCAACTACAGTAGGCCCTCCAGGCATTCTCCTGCTTTAATGTCACATTGCAAAATGGACTTCAAAAAAAAAATATCGTGAGGACTGCATTCTGGCAGAATTTTCTCCCTTTGCACTCCTCCAGGGGTTTGTGAATTTCAAATGCTGCTCTCAACAGGTGCTGCCGACTACGGGGGGTCTTACTAACACGCAAGCAGTCCTGTTTCAGAATTCCAGGTTCAGAAGTATTGCCCTCTCCTTCTGAACAACATGGTAGGCACATGCAGTGATGCAAGCACTTCCTCTAACACAGGCCAGGCAGGGATTTACCCAATGTCCAAATTAGAGTCTTACACATACAGAGAGCGGTCTCCGTTCCAATTCACTGTCACTTGGATTGGAAATCATAGTGGGCTTGAAAAGGTGCCTGACTCTGGGTTTTCTGGAGTAAAGAGAAGCGCTGAGATTTCCTTGCTACATGGCTGCTTCTCCATCTTTCAAATATTGTAACTACTGATTTGACTCCAAGTTTCCTTTGAGCACTGACTTTAACTTGTGTTCTAAGAGGCAGGTCTCAATTGCCACTGGAGTAAGAGCAAGCTTAGCATGGAAGAACCGGGGGGTGGTGAAGTGGGACCCAGCCTTTAACTTTGGCAGAGGAGGCTCAGAGACCCTGAGGCCACCATGCCAGCCGCAAGTGCAGAGGCAGGCTGGCAGCTGCTCCAGGGTGTGAGAACAGGGGTGGTAGGGTCAGGGGCAGCTCATCAGGGAAGCCACAGGAGAGCCCTAGCAATAAAGAACGGCAGAGTGTGGCTACAGAAGGGGGTGTTCCTGGGTGCTGGGGACGTCGGGGAGACCTTGGTCAGGAAGTTGGAAGGGAGGGGCAGGTCAGTGGTGAGGGCCGGGTCAGGCCCTGGTGAGTTATAGAAGGCTTTTGGTCAGGGAGTGCATGGAAAGCTCTGCTTTCAAAGGACAGAAGCTCACACACACCCGGGCAGTGCCTGGCCACTTGCTGGGGGTAGGGAAATTTAGGCCTGTTATCCAGAGGGAATTCTGGGGCTTGTTCTCCCAGGAGAGCCCATTCTAGCTTCTCCCGAGATGACCCGAATGAGCCTACTTTGTAATCATCTCATTTTTTAGATTATTATCTCATTACCCAAATTATTCTCTGACTGGCTACCCTGGTGCCTGCCACCTGTCCCATTTATTTATTTATTAATTTGCTTATTTATTTATATTCATCCATCCATTCATTTATTTCAAAGGCAGAGTTACACAGAGAGCCATGGAGGAAGGAAAAGAGAGAGAGAAGAGAGAAACTTTCCATTTGCTGTAATTCTACAAATGACTGTAATGGCCAGGGCAGAAGCCAGGAGCCAGAAGCCTCCTCTGGGTCTCCCACAAGGGTGCAGGGGCCCAAGCATTTGGGCCATTCTCCATTGCTTTCCCAGGCCATAAACAGGGAGCTGGATCAGCAGTGGAGTAGCTGGGACTTGAACGGGCACCTTACCGACGCTACAAGCAGAGGCTTAGCCAGTGGGGTCTGTACAGAAACAAGAGCCTGTATGGCCACACAGAGTGTGAAGCCACAGGCACAGGAAGCTCTGTCTAGCTGGACCCTCAGCATGCATGCTACGAATGGGGGACTTTCTGTATGAGATTTTATAACCCAACAGTGTTAAGTCCTCCTTGCCACTGGAGATGCCACTGTGAGAGAGTGATGGGGCTCCCGTATCCCACATGTGGCACCAAGGCAAGGGCAGCAGTCAGCCTGGGTCTGATCGCTAGGGTACTGGGTATGGCCCATGCTGGTTGCTCCGAGGTAGTAATGGTGTAGGTGTTTGATTTTCTGTGTTGATCACTGGGGCTTACTGTGTCTCCTCATGGAAGCCTTCCAGCAGCCTGCTATGGAAGGCTAAGCTTACGTCCCTGGTTTAAAACCTACGTTCCCTGGTTTCCAAGCTCCCAGATGTATCCTCTGAAGACTGGCAAAAGGGTGGGATGGGAGTGCCTTTGTTGCTTCTCTGTAAATATTTTATTAGAACAGTTCCACGTAATTAAAGGACACCCAAAAACCTGCCCCCCAAGAGCCCTGACCCCAGCCCAGGGGAACCTGAGGTT